TATATCCAGAGCATTTTGCTTAGTCCGTGATGTTCTGTAGATGTCAGTGAACTAAATAAATGGCTGGGTAGGAGAGCAAATCAACCACAAGATGTTAGGTTCGTTTATTAATTTCCTAATGCTACTGTAACAAATGACCACAAACTTTGTGGCTTAAAACAGCACAAATATTTTCTTATGTTATATTATGATTAATATTATGTTATTAGTTCTGGACACCAGAAATTTGAAGTGGGTTTCATTAGCCAAAACTAAATTTCGGCAAGGCTGCACTTCCACTGGAGGCCCTATGGAGTACCTACTAGCTCCCTGGCCTTTTCTAGCTTCTAGAGCTGCTTTCCTTGCATTCCATGATCAGTGACCCCTCTTTCTCTTCAAAGCCTGAAGTCTGCACTTCCACCTTGTGTCCCTCTGAACCGCTGCTTCCCTTATAAGGAGTCCTGTGATTACATTAGGTCTACCCACAAAACCCAGGATAATCAATCTCACCTCTCAAAATCCTAATATAATCTCACTGCATAGTCCCCTTTGCCATGGAAATGAATATTCATAGGTTCTGAAGATTAGGATAGGGCATCTTGGGGGAGTATTATTTAGTTTACCAAATCTTGTGTTTGGCTTAAAACCATGCTATTTCAGAAGTAGATAGGTTAAATGAAGAAAAAGAGCCAAGGCAAAAATGTTTTCAGTCAGTCCTGGACTTTCATTCAGGAAATGTTTCTGCAAAATGGGAAAGTGAAACTCTATGTGCTCAATTGCATTAAATGTACTTTCCTTTAGGAAACTCCTTTTGCATAGAACCACTATGACCCAGGGATAATTAATTGATTAGGTTTAATGAGATTACAGAATTAAGTATAATTTGAAAAGTAATGTTTCTTTTCAACACAAAATAATCAGTTCTGCCCGATTCTCTTTGAATTAGAATGTTCAATTTGTTCCTTAATTTAAATTTACATTGTTACTATCTTTATTCCAAATTAGCAATATAGCAATAGATTATTCCTGCTGGAATAATGAGAATTCGTCCTCTGATAGCTATGGAAACTAGCACATATAAAAGTGATGGTGAAAGCAAGAGGTGAAAAGAAGCTAAAAGGATTACCGAGAGTAGTTAATAAGTAGTGGTTAAGAGCAGCCCCAGATTGCCTGGATTAAAATTCTAGCTTTTTCATTTTACTAGCTGTGTCACTGTGAGAAATAATAGATCATCCATCTTCAGGAATAAGGGGGTCCAGGAAATTGCTAATTGAGATTGTTAGCTGATATAGTGGAGCTCATTCACCTGGTGTATGTGTAACAGGAAGGGGAGGGGGAAGTGAACCTATTCAAGAAGTAGAAATTTCAAAATAAGAATGCGACCATCAAAGGGAAATAGGCGACATCTAGGAAGATTGTTCACCCCATAGTACTCAGTCAGGGAGGAACCAGGGGAGGGACTTTGAAGTTATGACATAAAGATGCTTGTAAAACGACTGCGTGGTGCGTCTTCTCATCTTGTCTTCTGGGCTTGGTGAAAGCCTCACGCTCCCTAATTGAATCCAGATTGTATTTCTTGAGCAGTTGTCGGTAAGCACCATGATAACTCATTGGTGACCACATATGAGATAAGGTGGTCCGCCCCACTTCTCCCACCGGAGACCCATCGGGATAAGGTACTAGTTGGGGGTTTGTACTAACCTGCCAGTTGCCAAGAGGAACCGAGGCAGTATCCAGGTTATCGATAAGTTTCTTACATTGCCCTGCACAAGATACTTAACCTCACCAAGAAAACAAAGTAGATAGTAGTTTCTCTGTGCTGCCAGAGGTTGATATGAGGATTAGATGAGTTAGTAAATGTAAAGGATTTAGAGCATAGTAAGAACTAACCTGGTGTGGCACTATGGGTTAATGTGCCAGACTGCAAAGCCGTTTGAACTGCAAGGTCTGCAGTTCAAGCTTACCAGCTGCTCCTCAGAAACCCTATCAGGGTCACTATGGTTCAGAACCAACTCTACAGCACTTAACAACAACAACAAGAACTAACCAAGTGTTTGCAATGATGATGATGATGACTAGGATGATGATGCTGAAGACGACAAAGATAATGACGGTGAATCACACAGAGCATTTCTTTTAGAAGCATCTTAGAAGAAGTCGGGGAAATATTTACAAAGTATTATCACTTTTGTTCTGGTGTGGCGCTGTGGGTTAATGCGCCAGACTGCAAAGCCGTTTGAACTACAAGGTTGGTGATTCAAGCTCACCAGCTGCTCCTTGGAAACCCTGTACAGGGTTGATATGGGTTGAAACTGACTTGATGGCACTTCACAACAACAAATTAGCACTTTTGAGTATCCTTTGAGTATCACTTTGTGGACAGCTGGGTTATGCCTATAAATGGTAGTATTGTTGTTGTTAAGTACCGTGGAGTTGGTTCTGATTCAAAGTGACCCTGCACAGGGTTTCCTAGGCTGCAAATCTCTATGGGAGCAGAAAGCCTCATTTTTTCCTGTGGAACAGCTGGTAGTTTCAAACTGCCAACCTTGAGGTTACCTTATAGCTTAATTTTTTTCTGATGTAAAGTTTATGATATTAAGTTTTTTTTCTTTGTACTTTCAAATATTCTAAGTTTAGAATAACTTTTTTTTTTTTTTTTTGCTTTATTTTTGGCAGTTACTCTTTTGGAAGTGCTTTTATAATAAAGTTTGATTCTGATATATTGTCAAGTGAGTCACTGGGGTCTAGTATCCTCCTACTCTTTTTTAAAAATAAAACCTCATGTGCTACAGTGAATTACTTAATGTCTCTTTCAGCCATTGTTGTTGGTAAGTACCGTGGAGTCGGTTCCGACTCATAGTGACCCTGTACAGGGTTTCCAAGGCTGTAAATCTTTACAGAAGCAGAACGCCCCATCTTTCTCCTGTGGAAAAGCTGGTAGTTTTGAACTACCGACCTTGAGGTTAGCAGCCCAATTCGTAACCATTATGCTAATTAAATATGTTGTTATTATTAAGTGCCTTTGAGTCGGTTCCGACCCATAGTGACCCCTGTACAGGATTTCTGAGGCTATAAATCTTTACGGGAGCAGAAAGCCTCATCTTTCTCCCATAGAACAGCTGGTAGTTTTGAACTGCTGACTCTGAGGTTCGCAGCCCAATTCGTAACCACTACACTACCAGAGTTCCTTCTAGCCATAGTCTTTGTAAATGCCACCAAACTACTTTTTCCTGATGGGTCTAGGTAAGAGAAGATGCTGATGAATTATACGATTCAGTTGTGAGTGATTGTTAATACAGCTAATTGTGATTGTTCAACTTTGCCATACTGCTTGGTACAAAATGAACCATTTCAGAAGCAGAGGTGGGAATCTCACTACCATCAAAGAAGAGCCAGGACTAGAGTGTGTACTTTGGACCCTGAGATCCCTGTGCATTGAACTTTCTTATCCCAGGGAGAGAAAGTTGTGACACTGCAGGAGTAGCAGAGGAACTGTACAGCAGAATCAAGAGTCAGAGAATGAGACAGAGTAGTGGGCTTCCCAACCCATCGAGCAAGTAAAGCTGAATGCCTTTGGACAGGAGGTTTGCTTGTGGAGTGGTATGCCTCCAGGCACTTCATTGGGGAGCTAGGTTTGCTGACCCATGGAGTTAGAGCCAAGTGCTTTCTGGCTGAAACATATACTGGAGTGGATTGTCCTTTGGGCATTTATCAGCAATGCTAAAAGAGCTTGTAACTTTACTAAAGCAGGACAGACACCAAGGAACCCTTGGTTGAGAGGCCAAGGATCAGAAAGAGGTCTGCCAGCAGACATGGTAGAAGAGACTGTCCTGACAAAGAATTGTGTACTATGCATTTTCTGGTCTTGACTTGAAACCTATTAACTTCTCTAATAAATCCTATTAACTGTGAGTATGGTTTCTGATTTCTCTGTGGCCCTT